TGCAGCCACTTCAGCATCATGTTCTGCTTCGTCAGTTGCTCCCACTCAAGTTCTAGCCTCTCATAGTTTTACCTAACACTCCATCACTCCTAAGATGATCCAACAGATGATTATTTTTGTTTTGTCTGCATTAGGTGTCTCAGGTAAAACATCAACTTCTCCTTCTTGGTCACTAGACTTAGGTACTTCTAATTATATAACTCATGATACTCAATTACTTTGTAACCTTATACCATATACTGGACCTCTCTATATACACACTGCCTAATGTGGTGTAATCCAATTCCATGTGATTTGGTATTTGGTTGATTGGAGGAAGTCTAAGGTATCTCAGTTTGTAGAGTTCTAATATGTTGAAGATCAAATTTCAATAATAATTAAGAGTTTGGTTTGAAAAAGGACTCTTGAATGGATAAAGGCATGTTTTGGAATGTCAATCCCGAGAGATGGGCACCATAGCGCCAAAGGAAGAAAAATGGGACAGAGGTCCGGCGCTGTGGCGCACGGCAGGGGGTGCCGCAGCACCGGGCCCCTGTTAGGAGAAAACAAGGCTAGCACCGCTGTGCCCCTGTTTCGTAATGTTTTCGCGATTTTCTCATTTTTCCGAATTTTTGGATTCCTTATCTATCTTGAACTCCAATAAGAGATTTTTTATATATAGCCACATTGTATCTCCATATTATAACATTCATATATTATTCTTTATATCTTCAACAACATGTTGAAAATTGAGAGTTTAGATTTCAATTGAGATTATTGAAATCTTGATGTTTTAAACACAAAACTATTGATTATAGTGGATTATTATCCTCTGTCCGTGGTTTTTTTTTCTGAACGGGTTTCCACGTAAATTTTTGTGTTCTTGTTTTTCTCTTCATTATTTTATTATTGCCATTATCTTGCGATCCGTTTTATAATACTGTCGATGGTAATACTCTTCATATTTCGGCCGTGGGTGATGTATCAACATATTTACCTCATGTTTTACTCTCCTAGTTAATCAACTAATCTTATATCAGTTGGCCAACTTATTGATAACAATTGCATCATGTCTGTTTCTTCTTCTGGTTGTCTTGTGTAGGATTAGGTGTCCGAGAGATCGATCATAAGGGGCCTAAGGAGGGACGTATCTTTCCTATTTTACCGAAGCATGTTCCATATTTTCCTATTGTTTGTAATTCTGCTACTTTCAATATTTCTTATTGACATAAGATATTGGGACATTCAAATTCTAATATATTACATCATTTGTTAAACGGTAGTTTACATGGTAATAAGAATTTTGATTCGGTTTCATCTATCTCACTTGATTTTGCCTCATGTAAACTTTCTAAGAGCAAGGTTTTACCGTTTCCTTCTTATGGTTCTCATGCTTCGTGTATTTTTGATATTGTTCATAGTGATGTATGGGGTTTAGCACATGTAGTATCTCATGCCCATTATAAATACTTTGTTACCTTTATTGATGACTATAGTCGCTACACATGGGTTTACTTTTTCGTGCCAAGAGTGAGGTTTTTCTGGCTTTTAGTCTTTCACTGTTCTCATTGACAACCAATTTTTCTCTTTCATCAAGATCTTACAATCTGATTTAGGAGGCGAATATATATCTAATGCGTTTCAATCTTTCTTACAGACCAAATGGATTATTTCTCATCGATCTTGTCATTCTACACCTCAATAGAACGGGATGGCAGAACGCAAGAATCATCATCTTCTCGACATAATTAGAGCTCTTCTAATTGGGTCTTCTTTTCCTTCTCATTTTTGGTGTGAAGCATTATCTACCGCTGTTCATCTCATAAATCGATTACATTCTCCCACTATTGATAATGTTTCTCCATTTTATAAGCTCTTTGGTCATCATTCCGCATACTCTCATCTTCGTCCTTCTGTTTGTGTTTGTTTTGATCATTTACCACCGTATGAAAGGAGAAAACTTATACCTCAATCTGCCAGTTTGCCTTTCTAGGATATGGTGGGACTCGGAAATGATATGTCTGTTATAATCCTAGGACACATCAGATTAGGATGTTTCGTAATGTTGTTTTCTTTGAAAAACAATCTTTCTTCACTTGAGAAATTGTTGTCTCTCTCGTTGTGTTCTCTGTATTGCCTGATTTCCCTATAAAATTCTCTTGATACAATCCGGGTCTAGTTTACTCTCGTAGGTATGCTGCACCTTTCACTGCTTTCGAGCTTCCTTCTCAGACACTTGTCTTCTTAAGCCTCCATGATATTCCAACTACGACATCAGATTCTTCAACATGATGATCAACCGCCTCTGGTCATTCTGCTTTCGAGCTTCCTTCTCAGACACTTGTCTTCTTAAGCCTCCATGATATTCCAACTACGACATCAGATTCTTCATCATGATGATCAACCGCCTCTGGTCATTCTTCATCGTACCTCTCGTGTTCCTCGACCTCTAGATAGGTATGATTTCTCTTCCCACAGCTCTATGTCTGCTACCTTTAACTCGATTTTCATCCCCACCTCTTATAGACAGATTATGGAACAAAAGTGTTGGCAACAGGCACTTGAACCTAATTAAACTTGGGATATTGTAACATATCCACTGACTGTGAAACACATTGAGAATAAATAGATATAATCGATCAAATTTCGTTCTAATGGATCTCTTGAGCACCATGAGGCTCAGTTAGTTGCCTTGGGTAACCGTCAAGAGTATGTAATTGACTATGATGGGACATTTGCTCCCGTGACTAAAATGACCACCGTTTGCCTCTTGTTATCTCTTGCTACTTCTCAGTCTTTGTCTCTTCATCAAATGAATGTAAAGGACGCGTTTTTACATGGAGACCTCAAGGAATTTACATGAAACTTCTTTTTGGTATGCCTATTCCCTTCATTAACTCTATATGTAAGTTAAAACACTCTTTGTATGGTCTTAAGCAGGCTTTTCGGGTATGGTTTGACAAGTTTCGTCACATTCTTTTTTATTTCTCCTTTACTTAGAGTCAGTATGATGCATCTCTAATCTTTCACGGGAGTAATACTGGCATCATTTTTTTGTTGGTATATGTGGATGGCATCATTATCTCTAGTTCTTACTACAATCTTATTCAGAAGTTTCAGCAGCGTCTTCACTTAGTTTTTAAAATGAAAGATCTTGGTCAACTTACTCACTTCCTTGGCTTAGAGGTTCATACTAAATCGCATGGTATCTTCTTGAATCAACATAAGTATATGCAAGACGTGATTAGGTTGGTTGATCTATCGGAAACCTCATCGGTTGATATGCATTTGGAGTTTAATGTTAAAAATCGAAAAGATGAAGGACATATTCTTCCAGATACTACTCTTTATCAAAAGTTAGTAGGTAGTCTCATATCTCACCATCACACGTCCGAATATTTCCTTTGCCATTCATACTGTAAGCAAGTTTATGGACGCTCCTCGTCATGTTGATTTGGTAGCTGTTAGTCGTATTGTTCGCTATCTTATCGGGACTTTTTATTGTGGACATTTCTTCCTTCGGGGGTCGTCTCTTGAGCTCACGGCCTATAATGATGCTAACTGGGCGGGTTGTCCTGCTTCTCGTCGATCTACTACTAAGTGGTGTATCTTTTTGGATGATGCTCTCATTTCTTGGAAATGTAAGAAACATGATTGTGTTTCTAAGTCCTCCACTGAGGCTGAATACCAAGCTATGTCCGCTGCATGTTCTAAGGTTGCGTGGTTGTGTGGTCTTCTTGCAGAACTTGGTATCTCTCAATCATAGCCTACACCTCTCCTTGGTGACAACACTAGTGCTATTCATATTGCGGCCAATCCTGTGTACCATGAACGCACCAAATATATTGAAATGGTCTGTCATTATATTTGGGACTGTCATTATATTTGGGACGCCTATAATTCCAAGGTCATCGTTCTTCTCCATGTTTCCACTACTTACCAAGCCGCAGATATTGTTACCAAATATCTGACTCGCCACTGTCATAATTATCTAGTCAGCAAATTGATGCTTGTGGACTCACCAATATCAATTTGAGGGGGGAGGGGTATTAGCATATTATTAGAAGTCTATTATTTACTTACAACTAATTAGGTAGTTTCCTTGTACATAATAGCTGGCTTCCATATATATTTTGTATCATTAAATATCTTGTAACATTCTATAAAGAAGGTGAATACACACAAGAAATTCATTCTGCAAAATTGACACGCCCATGTGGCCTTGTGTAACCATTATAATCCAAGAAACTTGGCCTCAATTACCAACATTAATTTATTTTACACTTGTTTGGTGGTGATTAAAATAAGATTTTTAATAGATTTTGATAAAAAATGATAAAATGTAAGATTAAAATTAATTGTTGAATTTGATTTAAATTAAAATCTAAATTTTAATTTTTACCAAACATGGGCTTTACGTGACAAAATTAGCATTAGCTATTAATTTACACACCGAACACGATGAAGATTCTTTCTACGTCATGGCTTGAGCCTTGAAGGTCCCATGGTCAAACAAATGTTTCCCTCTCTCAAAGGATATATTGTCCCCTTACAGAAGGGAACCTTTCGAGACTCATCAATCACTTGATAAAACTTCTAGTCGGAGCGTGATTATAAACTTTACCAAAAGATATTGTTCCCCATAGAAAGGGTTTCTGCCTTTGGGGACTAATCAAGCCCTCAATACAACATATTTCGGTCAAATAGCCTCCTAATAGTATTGACACGTTCAATTAAATAAACAGTCGTGCTATATCGATTATAATCAAATTGAAACAACCACAAATACAAAGGCTATATATCTCATTAATATCAATAATAAAGTTCACATAATTAAGATTGAGCTATTCTTAATTCATCAAAACTCACATAAAAATATTTCAAGGAAAAAAGGTAAATAGAGGAGGGAAGTCAAAGAAGGGGAAAAAAAAGAAAGAAAGAAAGAAAAAAGAGTAACATTCGTTGGCTTCAATATCATTTTGGATCCTTGTATCTTGATTCTCTCTTAATATGAATTCTTTCTACTTGGATTCTCTTGGTGCATTGCACCTGAAGCATTCCATCCTGCTAGCAAAATTGTGTTCATTGCATCCTGACCTGTTTCGCAATTTAAAATTTCAATATGACCATTCGATATGCTCTTCGAAAGGATTCAACGATATCTAAATTGAGACATTGTTTAGTTTAATTTTATAATAAATAATATTTTTGAATTTTGATAGTCAAAGTTGATGTAAATTACTATTTTGAAAGTAACTTATGAGCCTAGGCAAACATGTGTTGCTAAATTTAATTAAGATTAATTTTTTAAAGTTGATCTTGCATAGGTTTGAGAGCGTATAAAATTTACCTGGTGCAAATCCAGTCACCAGATTTCCATCCAGAACGGCCGCCACCACTGCCGCCACCAAATCCAAATCCTCTAGGCCGCGATGTCTCAGCCTCAAAGCCGCCACCACCGGAGGATTCATGATCCTTAAGTGCACCGCACTTGAAGCAGCTCGAGCGGCTGGCGAAGTTGTGTGCTCCGCAGTTCCCCATTGCGCAGTACCAGTCACCAGGCCGTACATCGGGGCCCGTAAATCCGAATGAAGAATTGCCGCTTCTACCGACGAAACTAAGTCCATAGTCACCGGCTCTTGGTTCACCACATCGTTGGCAAGAGTCTCTTCTCTGGAAGTTAAGGTGTTGGCATGATCTGCAGTTCCAATCTCCGGGCCTGCTCATTGTTCCTGATTCCGAAAAATATCGTAAATGGTTAAGCCCCAATCCTAATTCATAGCAATAATGTACAAAATAAAAATTTATAGTCGTTTGTTATGAATGTAGGGGTTAGGCTCACTTGCTGATGAAGGTTTTTACTAGAACCGGGAAGATGTTTAAGATGGAAATGTGACTCTTCTCAATCTTTTTCTCTCGTACGCCAAGGAAAAACAATTTTCTCAGATTCCTAGCATTAATTGAATCTAGCATCTCGCGCATGCATCTTATTTAGATGATGCTGGTCAAACCAACTAATGTAAAAATTTAAGAGTAATGTTATTAATAGTGAAAACTATCGGCCACTGTGAATTCCTATAGCGCAGCGCATGATTCACAAGTGTGTGTTTTTTGCCAATTGTCAATGAAACTATGCCAAGTGTCCTGTGTATGAATTCTGTGAAACTTTTCGTACGTGTGCAGCATTACTCTGCTAAACATCGATAAAGTTATTTGTACAAAGTTGAGTTACAAAAGTTGGGTTACAAAGTGTGTTGGCAAAATTCAGACCGTTGATTTCAAATGATTTAAAAATCTGTTTTTAAAATAATTGGTATAAATTTTATTTTGTCAACCAACTTTGTAACATAACTTTGCACATGTAGCATAACTCGCTGAACATTTATCTGCTCTGACACGATATTGACTCAACCATCTTATAGCTTATGGATAACATAGTACTAGAGCTTAGACAAAGTTTGTCTTCTTGAACAACATGAGCATGTGTGTGTCTACAGCATAAGTAATGGATCAAATTCGTGCAAATGGACGAGTATAATGCATACTAAAAACGCAGTTAAATATACATGAAAATTAATTTCTTTGCATGGCTACAAATAAGTTTTACTTACAGAACATGGATGAACACTAACCTTAAAAAACACAAAGAATATCAGTAATTTTGAACTGATGAAGCTGTTGAGGAGTAAGGGAATTTTCAAGGGAAAACTTGAGAATTTTTGTAAAGACTGCCATGTGTTATATACAAGTTAAAAGGTGTCGATTATCGAGGCAGGTTGTAAGGCTAAGGATGTTCTTTTTTATTGTTCTTCACTTGACTTCTTGAAATCAATAAAAATTACTCTAAAGGAAAAGGAAAATAAATATAAAATAAAATGAGATTCCAATGATGGAAAATATTGTGAAGTTTGATAAAGCACAAGCTGCAGCCGCTTTTAAGGATTCACTACAAATTCTAGTTAGACATTTCGATAGGTACTTTTTACTCGATTTATTTCAAAATCGCTTTTTAAACATTTAGACAATGTATGTTTTTAAATCATGTGGTTTAAGATGCTATTCGAGTAGATAAAGATTTTGAATTCAAGACTTTTTGTTATACACATGTAATGAATCTAATATATGGAAAGGAGATGTGTTGAACACAAGATTTTAATGCATATATGTAACTTGTTAGATATCATTTATTTTTTCAAATTTATTAGAAGTAGAGGATGAACTATAACTAGTCCAATCGACTGAGTATTTGTCAATTAGACAACAAAATCAATGAGTTAACGGATTATTGAGATCACGTCATTTTTTCATTTGTGACGTTTCCATCTATTCTAGCTAGAGATGGAGGTGCACAAATTAAGTGTTTTTTTTTTTTTTAAAAAAAAAAATCAAATTTAAGTTTTAAAAGGCTTCAATTTATAAAAATCTCAAATAGTATTACTTCAAAAAGGCAAAACATTTTTTTGATAATTATATCAAAGAGACACTCCGCCTTAAGTGAACAGTAATTTGGCCCAACTCTAAGAAAGTGGGAGTGCCATTTTGATTGGTGACGTGGAGATCAAAGGTTTTTTTTAAAATAAAGTGTGTGGTGACAATTGAAGTTCATGGAGTTTTTATTTCACGTTTCAAATGGCCACCCTAATTTCAATGATGAATAATATAGGGGATGATATTTCTTTTTGTCTCGAATATAAAGGATATTTTGGACGAAAATACTATTTAATTAATGTCATCAATCTTTATTCATTATAAAACTTATGTTCCTAACTTTTTTGATGCATTATTATCCTCAATCTTTCATTAATTATCGCATCTCGTTTGTAATAAACAGAAACCATAATCAAGGTTGAAATGTGTTATTTAATGGAATTTTGAAATAAGAATTCGACGAAAAAAAGTTAGGAACTGAATTGTACAATGATCAAAAGTTGACGACCTTAATTGCAAGTATAACAAGTAATAATTCCGGTATGAATATAATCAGAAATGATCTAATGAGCACCGGTGCTCATCTTATCCTAAACACCGATGAGTTGGCAGTTCCAATCCACCAATGAATTAATGTGCCAACTCATTGGTGTTTAGGATAAGATGAGCACCAGTGCTCATTAGATCATTTCTGTGAATATAATTACCTTAGATATGTACCTAACTATGTATATATGTGTGTTCGATGTTGGGGTGACGAATCTATAATTAACCTTGAGCTATAGAATCTTGGGACAATAGTGTTGTACGAGCCCAACATTAGCCATGTAAGAAAATGCAAACATAAAATGGTCCACAATCCACGTAATGCCGACCACTGTTTATTGACTCAGTATTGGATTAGGGAAAATTGCAGTGGGGTCCCAAATAATTTCAAAATATACAAATAAGTCCGAAAACTTTTATCTTTGCAGTGTTAATCCGAAAGTGTCGTCAAATATTCGACCAGAGGGCTTTTTAGACGGCAATCATGCCAGCATTTGTTAGATCAGCACGTGAATTGTATTTGCCCTCTTTTTAGAAAGGTAAATGTGTATGAACATTATTTTTGTAGTAAAACAACTGAAAAGNAAAAAAACTTAAAAAAAAAAATAACCAAAAAACTAAAAAAAAAAAAACCAAAAAAAAAAACGAAAATAATTAAAAAAAAAAAAACCATCTTATCAACCACAATACCCACGCCCCAGTCCCCACCACGAACTCCCCTAGTTTTCGTCACCACCAAGGGGAGGATTTCTCTCAAGTAACAGTGGTAGTGATAATGATAGTGGCAGCGACGGTATGGGGTAGGCGGGGATTGGGAAAATTCTTTTCTAAAAGGAAACACTATATCTCCCTTAACCCTTGTTTGATTTTGATTTTTCTAAATTTACCTTTCTTTAAACTCTTTTTCAACCATACAATAATTCAATAAAATAATTTTACAANAATTAAACAAAGTGCTCATTTACCCTCTGAAAAATTGGACGTGTGCACAGCACATACCAATTTAACAAACTTTTTAATGCTTACCTCTCAAAGGCTTCATCCCAAAAATAAAATGATTGTGATCCCACTGCAATTTTCCTCAGAATAAACCTAGATGTACCAAATGTTTTACAAAATATTTTATCAACTCGCCACTTGGAGCCTCACCATTGGAGGGGCGCCTGTAATGACAGGCGCCCCTCCAATGATGGGACGCCAAGTGACGAGTTGGTAAAACATTTTGTGAGTGTAGCATGGTCCTTTTCCTTATTATTGGATAAGTAAGAACAAAATGAATATTCCATGCATTTCCAATTCTTCTAAAATGACCCCACAAGATGGCTCATTCTTTTATCTTGGAATTACTAAGAGGCCATGTCTGATGTCTCCCTTTCAATCCGGACCCACATTTAGTAGTCAATCTATTGAGAAAAAATTCTCATTCCTTTTCTATATTTTGAATATTTATGAGTGGCACGTAAACTTGAAACATGGGTTCTGTATTAGTTTATGTAAGCATGAATCAAATTAGTTTATCGAAGCCGAAATTAATTAATATTGGATGGCTGGAACTTTCAAGGATGTTTATTTTCTTCTTTATTCCTCGGATTATATTATATTAACAAATGTTAAGATAATTAATAAATTAAAGAGAGTGGCCATTCTTTGGAAGGGAAAAAAAAGGATAATTAAGAGAATCAATGGAAGGGTTCAAAAAGGAAGAAAGTTAAAATGGCAGAATTTCGATAAAGAAAGTTGAAACTGATGATACAAAGAAAGGTCTTCGAGGTTCAATTTGACCATCTTTTCTTTTAATATCTTTTCTTTTTCCTCTGCTCGGTTCGCCCTTTTTGTTGTCACTTTTCTTTTATCCTTTGTTATATTTTGCTCTAATACTTGTTAGCACAAAAACTTAAACGTGGATAAACTAAAAAGGAAATTAAAACAAGAAATGCAGTATGTCAACACAATATGTAGGGAATGTATTTCTATAATGAATCAAAATGAAACACGATTGAAACATCGTATAAAAATCACAACTTAAATTTATATTATATAATATTTAACTTTAATAAAAGATATTTAGCATTTTAAGATTTTGAATAGTCGTTACGAAACATTTCTGATACGAAAATGCTAGCACATTACCTTGTTGAATGACTCTCTCTCTCTCTCTCTAGGTTTAAAGAAAAGCAGCAGCACACCATATTTTCTCCAAGAAATGAGAAGAGAAAAAAACCCTAATAAGTATTACCCACCATTTTATTGGGGAGTGGTAAAGAGAGCTGTAGCAAACTGATAAAAAGCAAAAAGAAAGGGAGAAATGATTCGATATTCTCTCACTTTGGGAAGCGGTTCCACGCAAGACTATGACCACTACACAATGCAC